CAGTAACAAAAAAAAATACATGATATCAGCATTTCTCAACACATCACACTAGATAATATATCATTTTTCAACCACCTATACGCGCCCCCAGTCACCCGGGGCTCCAAATATAATCACTTTGAACAAATCTCCACACAGAACTGTCAACGAAAACACTGTGAGGGAAAAGCGAAAAACTTCCCTGAAGATTCACAGAACAACAAAGTAGAAATATTCTACAGAACAGAACTCTTATACAATCATGTTATCAAAGCAGGATAACACAACAAGGGCTGACTAGTGACTATCCAAAGAGCAATCCAGAGAAATATCTGTCTCATAAAACATCCACACAGAAACAATACTTGCTAGCACAGAGATCAAACAGAAATAACAGATTAACTTATTGGAGAGAATTACAGACACTAAGCAACTCTGCCGTTTCTCAGGGAGAAGCTTCTTCCCAGAACATATAGCTGAAATCAGAGAACATCATACTGTCTGTATTGCCACAGGAGAGTAAGCTCTAATGGCTTCCAAATATCACCTTCCCGTCGCGTTGTGGAACAGGGGTCTGGTGCAATGCACCAACATATCCCACGAACTGAAACCCAACATGCTTCTCCCACACAAGCGAGTGTGCTGAACGAGCACGTTCTTGAGGAAACGTAACTCTGTCAGACTGAGTTTCACAAAACCGGACTAGAGAGAAACATTTCGCAGCCCACTTCCTATCCTTCTCGATAGTCCGGGCCCCACCTGGCACCATGTTGGCCCTCTCTCGACTTTAGCTTATAGTACCCTTTAAAGGGATCCGAATACTCTTTCAAGATTCACTATAACAGATTACTATGGCCAATTAGCGATCACCAAAGAGACTACTGGATTCTTCTTCCATCGACGACTGTTCTGATCTTGTTTGCACACATTGAATACATGATAGTAGAACGCGCTGGACGCATGTAATCTAGATACAAAAAAACACTCTCATCAGCAAGCAAATGAACTAAAAGTTGACCTGACTCACTGGAGCAAAGGAAACGCGATTTGTTGTATGATAAATGTCTGTTCTGTCTACTTCTAAAAAAAAAAATCAACACAAAAAAACAGATATCAGCCTGACCATCTGGCCCAGCGTGGGGCTAATTACCTTCCAGGTTTGCGTCATGCCCCTTACCAAGTCTCGTTGGGGATGAAGGCACATAAGTACCTTTTGCTGCAGCTGCGCCGTATGTCTGAGTGACTAAGGGGCAGTCGTGAGAGGCAGAGTCCAAGATCTCATTGGCCGTCTCCAGGCTGCCATCCAGCCTGGAGGGGAGAAAGCGACACAGCTCAGTGTCTCCACACAGGGCGGCCTCGCGGGCAGCACACACTGGCTGCCTTGCTGCAACAGAGCCGACGTGCTACTCACCAACAGGATGCCAGGCATTCATCACGCAACTTTCATCTACTTGTGTATCTGTACACATTTTTACATGAAGAGTTTTACATGGAAAGTCTAAAGAGGGAGTTATACCTAACAAGGCAGTGTTTCACTTTTACGATGGAAGAACATAACTAATAACTAGGATTCATTATTTTAAGAAAAAGTCAGGCTAGGCCAGGCGCAATGGCTCACACCTGTAATCCCAGCACTTTGGGAGGCCAAGGCGGGTGGATCACGAGTTCAGGAGATCGAGACCTGGCTAACACAGTGAAACCCCGTCTCTACTAAAACCACAAAAAATTAGCTGGGCGCGGTGGCAGGAGCCTGTGGTCCCAGCTACTCAGGAGGCTAAGGCAGGACAATCGCTTGAACCCGGGAGGGTGGAGCTTGCAGTGAGCCGAGATCGCGCCACTGTACTCCAGCCTGGGTGACAGCGGGAGACTCCGTTTCACAAAAAAAAATAAAAGGCTAGGTGCAGCGGCTCACTCCTGTTACCCCAACACTTGGGGAGGCCAAGGCAGGAGGCTCACTTGAGCCTAGGAGTTCCAGACCAGCCTGGACAACCTAGCAAGACCCTGCACAAAAAAATAATTAGCTGGATGTGCTGTGTGCCTGCAGTCCCACCTACTAGGGAGGCTGAGGTGGAAGAATCCCTTGAACCCGGGAGCTTAAGGCTGCAGTGAGCTGTGAATGCACCACTGCACTCCAGCCTGGCGAGGGTGACACCCTGTCTCTAAAATAAATAATTATATTGTTGCTGGAACTTTTTGGTCATAAAAAAATGTGTGAGACAGAATGAAAATGCATTACTTCTCGATGAACAACTGTTAACTCCCTGTTTTCCAAGGACAAACCTGTACCTCACAGTGAGACAAGAGGCTCTCAACCACGCGCACTGACTTGTGGCGGCCACCACACTGCACCCTCCCTTTCCGAATGCGAAACTCCACCCTGCAGACGAGGGCCTGGCCTCCCCGCGCCTCTCCCCCAGCTAAGAACAAATGCGGCTCCCCCGCCACCCCTGCGTTGTCTCTGTGCCCAGTTCCTGAGGGAGTCCTGACGCCGCCAGCCACAGCCCGGGGCTCGGGGCTCCCTGTCCTGCAGTGGCATCGATTTCACCTGGGAAAGCAAAGCTCCCGACCTGCGTGGCATGGGCCGCCATGCTGGCATCTGCCCCTTTATGTCACTGGTTTGCAAGGAAATAAACAAACATACGCCAGGTGCCCCAAAAGCGCGGAGCAGCTCCGTGAAGCGGCCGGAGCAGACTCACCGGTGCTGCTTCATCAGGGCGCACTCGCCGCCCTCCTGGGGGTCCAGGTTGTACATGTACAGGTACCCATCGGAGGCACCCACCAACAACCGCGGGATCTTCTGAATTGTGGCTAGCGAGCAGATGTTTTTGTGGCCGCAGAATGGCAGGCGGACCGTGGCGAAGGCTCTGCCCTGGTTGAACATTTCTGTCACTTGGGAAGGCAGGTAGCTGGTGGAGGCCATGAGCACTTTCCCGAAGTACCCGGTCCAGGTGGTGGGCTCCTCTGGGGGTTTTTCTTTCACAGTCTGGAGTTTGAAGATATGCACGGTCCCCGTGTTGCTGGAGGCGGAGAGGAACATGCCGTCCATGCTGAAGGCCAGGGAGCAGATGCTCACACACCTCTTCACTCCTCTCCGAAACTCAAAGAGTTTTTGTCCTTCTGGAATGGAAAATACCCTAATCACGGTCCCCTTCTCTGAAGCCGTGGCAAGTTTAGTTCCGCTTGCATCAAAGGCCAATGCCGCTAAAGGACTGTCATGAGCCGGAATCATGTTTGCAGCTCTCAAATTAATGGTATGGAAGACCTGCACCTCTCCGATGGTCGCGCTCCCTGGGTATGCCAAGTAGCAGTTGTCGTTGTTGATTGACAGTGCACACAGGCCTGCAGGGTTTGGAGGCCTCTCCCTGATTGTATGCAGCACCTTCATGTCCCGAATGTTGTGGAGGTACAGGGACTCCTCCAGGCACACTATCAGCCTCTGCCTGTTGAGCTTCACAGCCAGAATCGTGTTGGAGTAGCTGTAGTTGCAGATCTCAGTTCCCTTCTTAAAGTGGCAAACCTTTAGCTTCCTTGGTGCTTTAAGGCTCACGATGGCCACTAGGCTGCTGGAGAACAATCTCTCTACGATGCACACATCTTCCGTGTCAGTGCATTCATAGATCTGTTCCAGCTTATCCACAGAAGAAAGGGAGAAAAATTTATAACCGGACTTACTACCAACAGCTAGGGACGTGATGTCCTGGTTAAAGTTGGCGAAGAGCAGCTGGCCGGCGCCGGCCTCCCGGCTCTGGCTCGCCAGGTTCATGGCTGGGCGCGCGGCGAGTGGGCCGCGCCGGGGAGGGCGCGCGCGCGAGAGCGGGTCAGGCTGCACTCAGGGTCGGCGCCGGGCCCCGCTAGCCGCCTGGGTCGCCGCCACTCGCCGCCCTAGGATCAACCGCCGCCTCATCACGTCCCGGCTCTTGTTTATGCTCCGGAGCCGGGGAGCCCGCTACCTAGTGATGATTTTTAAAACAGCTTGCAACCCTATGATTCAGTTGAGCATGTAAATGGGGGTCCAGTATCCCCATGAGCCATCTTGTGCCCAAGTGCTGGGTCCATAGTATTGTATGATTCTTTCAGGGGGCTATTCATCATCTTTTTAATTACTTATGGCTATGCTTTGTTTTTTTGTGGGAAGCATAGTCTGGGAAGCCCAGAAGTTCACATATTTTTATGGACAGTAAGAAGAAAGATGGTTTAATAGTGCCAATAACACAACTACCTGTCCACTGATCAGGCAGCTTAGCATAGACTCTATGTCTACATATCCAGTATAACCCGGTGGAGGCAGTCCAGTCCTGGTGGAATTCTGGGTGGGCCCAGACAGTCTGTAACCTTGGAAATTTATTGGATGGATTTCTTTCTGTATAACTGGAAGTCCACCATATAACTGTTTTTGCGGTACTATTATACAGCTTTTGCCCAAGACAGCTAAGCCACCCTACAGGATGAGTGAATCTTTTTCCTTCTCTAGCTATGCAATACTGTCTAATAATTGAGACTTTTAGAACCCAAAAATTGTCAGGGTGGTTCTTTTGGGCCAAGAATTCGTCAGGAACTGGGTCTGTAGGAACTCATTCTTGGGCTTCCCATGGTCATTGATCTCCTGCTACGGTTCCTCCACAAACATAACATGAAGTGACTTTTGGAGACTGGGCTACATGTTTGGCTAACTGCAAAAACAAATTTTTAGTTTTTCCTGGAATCTCAGATACTGGCACAGTTCGTTCATCATAGATAGTCTGAACTACTGTTTCTGGAGAGTGTCTTTGAACCCCACCTTTTATTAGGATGCTTATGGTAGGATCTAGTCCTTTTCCATCAATGTCTAATGTTACATATTTTTTTATTTCATTTTGGGTCTGAGGGGTTTGTGATTACCAATTCTAAAGGATTGCAGCTCCCACTCATGCAGGAGGGGCTGACTTTTCCTTTTTGGAGCCAAACAGGATCTTTTTAATTTTTTTTCAAGTAGCCCAAATGACAAAAGACCAGTATTGACACATTTCACATAAATATGATTCTTGACAGATGTACTTATTTTCTGCTGTGTAACTTTTTTCTCAATCTAGAGAACCGGATCTCATCCCATGCTGCTTACTATTAATAGTGGCACAGGCGTCAAATCTTAAGGTTATATTTTTGGGGACCCCTCTTTCTTCTGTTCTAGCTATTACTTTACTTGTGTCACTTAGAAAAGGACCAATCCTTAATTTTACTTTAAAAACTGTGATCATGGGAGGCTTAAAATGGGTCATAACACGCATCAGGTTGGTTATTTCATGGGCTGCATACCTTGGATAGAATAGCATTATACAGACAAGCTTACTTTAGAGTCCTGGTACACATATAATAACCATAAAATAATAGGACTGTAGCAATCTTTTGTCCTACCTCAGTGACTTGATGTATACACTGGTAACAGCCCTCAGTCTGAGGAAGGTCAGTTGAAGTCCTTACTGTACAAGTCCAAATTTGAAGGAAAATGAGTCCCAGAATGAGGTTCTTCATGCTTTGGCCGTGCATCAACCAGTCAGCTTCCAGATGTGACTGGAGCAGGGCTTGTCATCTTTTTCAGAGTCACTTTGCAGGGGTTAGAGAAGCTGCTCCCATCCACGTACAGCTCCCAGTCTACAGATGTTTAAGGATGGTCTCAGAGGTTAGGCCCACCAGAAAAAACTGAGTCCAATACTTTTACACAGTTATGTTTAACTGGGCTCTTTGATACCAGGAGCAGGGTGGCAGGTTTAGGATGCTGCAAACTTTAGTGGTTATGCGGGGATTTTTACAGAGTGAGCTTTGGTACCTAGTTAGTCTATCATTTATTAGCTAATGGTGTACTTTGGTATTTATTAAAATTACCACAGCATGGGGGGACTTTATGTTTAGGTTTTGCCTAAAAGTTAGTTTATCTGCTTCTTGTGCTAACAGGGCCATTGCTGCTAGGGCTCTCGGACATGGGGGCCAACCTTTAGAAACCCCGTCTAGTTGTTTTGAAAGATAGTCCACTGGCTTTGGCCAGGGCCCTACAGTCTGGCTTAGAACTTCAACTGCCAATTTTTTTTTTTTTTTGACACATAGAGTGTAAAGAGTTTTGTCAGGTCAGGTAGCCTCAGGGCTAGGGCCAACATGAGTTTTTCTTTTTAACTCATGAAAAGCTCTTTGCTGTTGGTTGTAATAGATGTAGTTTATCTCATCTACATTTTTATTCACTGTCATCTACCAAAATATGGACTTAAATCCTGTAACTATTTGATTTCAAGCTTTAAATTGATCTGGTATTTCTTGCAGGGCTCCAATTGCATCTAAATAGATGTGAGAGTTGAAACACCTATAAGGGGCTTCTCTTGCTTTATGAGGTATTATTATTATTATTATTATTATTTCTGATTGATGAAATGCCAGGGTGAAAGGGATAGCCAAATGGACTAAAGCACAAGGGCCACTCTAGTTATTTGGCAGAGTACCCAGTAAAGATCCACCACAATACCACCGCACATCTGCTTGGGGATGAACAAGGGCTGACTGATTGATAAGCTCTTGAAAATTCTTAAGCTCACTGCATCCCTTCAGGTGTCCAAGGAATACTAAGTCTCCTCTTTGCCGTGAGAGACACGAAGTGAACTTAGTGTTGGGAGACAGAAGCTGGATGGCCCTCAGGGGTTGACCCGCAGGGACTTTGGGATATAACAGAGAGAACCTGGCATAACTTATTACTCAAGGCTGTAGAATCCTGGAAAAGAGCTAGCATGCAGCCCATGCCTGGTGGTCTGGAAGACTACCTTAGTGGAAAGGGGACAATCAGGGCCTCTGGCCTGCCATGTGCACAAGCATAACAATTGCTTTTGTTTAACATGCAGATGGAATATTTGATCCATTTCAACCAGGCATTTGCATCTTGGTATGCTGTCTTAATTGCCAAAGTTTGTTTTCAGTCTTTAACTTCTATGATCCTCTAGTAAAATCAATGTTTCCTTTAGCACCTATTTTTATTAATTTCAGACCAAAAAAAGCTAAACACCATTTTATATTTAATAATGCTTTTTGTATGATTTTTATCCCAGATAAGTTAAATTTTATCTTTATATTAGTGTGTTATTAATGTTAATCTTAATTTTAATAAAATCTTATAGACATATTTATCTAATTTTTTATGTTTGACCATCAGGTAAGATTTTACAGACTTTTTTTAACCTTTTATAATTTTTGTTAAAGAGCAGGTTGATGTTTTAAGAAAAACCTGTTGCATTTTTACTTGAATGTCCAGTTCACAGAAAAACTGGATGATACCTTTTTAACTTTAGCTAATATGTTTACACACAGATTTTTTTTCCAATTAACGCTTTAAAACTTGCTTAAACTTTTAAAACAATAATTTTTTTAACCTTTTAATGTAGGTAAAAATCCACATTCTTATGCCTCATTTTAATCTTTTTACTAAAGGTATATTTTACCTTTTTTTATACACCTTACACATAAATTGTTTTTTTAATAGTACTCAGGAGGCCTTATTACTTTTAAATTATATAACATTTTTGCATAAAAATTTCTTAACACTTTTTGTCTTTTACAAATTTTACAGACAACTTTTTTTTTGACATGTCTCAACTTTTTGACTCATTACAAACTTTTTTTTTTTTTTTTAAATAACCAGTTAATTTATTTCAGGACCAGAATTTACCATATAACATTCTTTTTATATAAATTCTGCCTCCCCCTCCTTTTTTTTTCTTTTTTTAAGAAATTTTTCAACATACTTCCTAATGGGATGGGCTTATTTGCGCCTGACCCATGTTTTCTCAAGACAAAATACCACACTTACACCACACACACTCACCACAAAACAAAGAATGGGTAAAGAGGGCACACACACTTTTATCGTTTATACCAAACCTAAATCAGAATACCATGAAATTCAAAATCCGAGTACCAAGAAATTTAAGCCAAGTCAAAACCAAAACCAAAGTATCCAGCAATTCAAGTCAAAACCAGAACAAAAGTGCCAATCCAGGCACACTGTGGGTGATCAGGCCACGCTTCCACTCAGATGGAGTGGGGCAAGTTCCATAGACTACTCTTACCAACTTTCAGATGTCTGGACTCCAAGTGCCAGTTCCTTCCCGGTGTTCAGCCACTGTGTTAATCCTCCGTGGGGGCCTGCTACGTGCTGCTGTGGTGAGGCGTTCCACCGGGACAATTGCCTACCCGGGAGCGATCTTTGGATCACATCACTCAGGCTGGCCGGAGTCCCCCGCAGGGATGCTCCACAGGGCAGGCCTAAGCCGCCTAAGGGGCTGCCTCAGCCATCTGTCAGTTACCTCGCTTCCTGGTCAGGGAACCAAGAAATGTAGCAGGACAAGCCGCAGACAAAACCTCTCAGACACCGAGTTGTAGAAGGAAGGGCTTCATTCAGCTGGGAGCATCGGCAAGCTACTGCCTTAAAATCTGAGCTCCCAAAGTGCATAATTTCTGTCCCTTTTAAGGGCTCACAACACTAAAGATTACACATGAAAGGGTTGTGATTGAGTTGAGCAAGCAGGGCGTGTGTGACAGGGGCTGCATGCACTGGTGGTCAGAGTGAAACACAACAGGGCAGGGAGCTTCACAGTGTTCTTCTATACAACGTCAGGAACAGCGGTTTCTAAGTCATGAGTTGATTTTTAACTACTGGATTTAGGCCAGGCAGACCCAGGCCTGGTTCCGGGCCTGGCGCTGGGCTGCTTGTGTTTGGTTTTACTTCACTGTTTTTTCTTAAAACAGGTACTGAGTATAAAACAATATAAAACAATATGAGAGGGTCTCTCTCTTGCCTCACCCTCACCCCTTCTGGTTTCTAGAAGAGCACAAGTAGAGCTGGCCTGTCCCTCTTGAGTCATAACAGGGACCAGAGAACCTTTTGCTAAGCTTGTCCACTGTAGGTGTCCCAT